ACAGCAACAGCAACAGCAACAACAACAACACCAACAACACCAACAGCAACAACAGCAACAGCAACATCAGCAGCAACAACAACACCACCACCACCACCACCACCACCACCGCCAACAACAACAACAACCAGCAACATGCAACACCAGCAACAAACCACAACAAACAACAAAACCACAATTAACAACAAAAAACAACAAACAACAACACACAACAACAAACCACAACAACAAACACCAACAAACACCAACAGCAACAACAGCAACAACAACGACCAACACCATCCACTACCCACCACCACCACAAACCACCACCACCACCACCACCACCACCACCAACGACAACAGCAACCAGCAACAAGCCAGACCAGCAACTAACCACAACAACCAGCAAAAAAACACAATTAGCAACAAAAACAACAAACAACAACACAACAACAAACCACAACAACCAGCAGCAACAACAACACCAGCAACAACAACAACAACAGCAACAACAACACCAACACCAACACCAACACCAACACCAACACCAACAACACCACCACCAACAACACCACCACCACCAACAACAACACCACCAACAACAACAACAACAAGCAACCACAAACAAGTACAAACAGTACCATGCAACAAACAACACACAACACATCAAACAAGAAACAACAAACAACAAGCAACACGCAACAAGCAACAACCAACAACAGCAGCAGCAACAACAACAACAACAACAAACAACCACCAAACAACAACCAACAAACAACAACCAACAAACAACAACCAACAAACAACAACCAACAACCAAGAACAACCAACACCCAACGAACAACGAAAAACCAACAACACGCAACGAACATCAAGCAACCAACTACAAGCAAGGAACAACAAGCAACCAACAGCAAGCAACGAACAACAAACAACAAGCAACACACGACAGAAAACAAGCAACAACCAGCCAAAAAAAGAAGCAACCAACAACAATCAACCAACATACACCCATCAACAACAAACAACGAACAACAAACAACCAACAACAAGCGCCACAACAGCCAACATGGAACAACCCCACCAAAAGCAACAGCAACAACACCAACAGGAACAGCAACAGCAACAACAGCAACAGCAACGGCATCAACAACAACAGCAACAACAACAGCAACAACAACAACAACCGAAAAACAACACACAACAAGCAACACACAAAGAAATATCAAAGAAGCAACAAAGAATCAGCAAAGAAACAACGAAACAACAGAAACAACAAGGAAACAGCAAGCAAAGAGCAACCACACAGCACCCGAACAGCAATGCTCTACCTCGTCAGGCAGTGCAGCGCCCAACGGTAACCAACCATTGATCAGGCAGATAAACTCATGCGGTTTGTCATGGGCCAAGCACGAAAGTGATACTCGGGATATGTTTACAGTTGTCCGATGCATTCCGATGCGGACCCCCGCCTCTTGTTCCAAGCTGACGCGCTGTTTGTGATTGCGGCCAGGCCCGGGAATGTTTTTTGAGAGGATGGTTCTTGCTCGAGCCAATGAATGACTTGGGTTGTTCGGTATAGTTCGGTGTTTAATGCTCAGGATGCAGACTGTGCGGATTTCCTGTGTTCTCTTGCATCTGCGAGGCGAGCTTGGGCGCGGCACAATCAAACTGAGTGGACGTGAGTGCCTCTTGACAGGATGGCTTAGGATGGCTTCCAACAGCAAAACAGAGCAAACTGGCACAGCAACCTTACTGCAGCTGCTCGCCCAGTCTATTGCCTCGGGTAGAGGCCGGAAAGCCAATATCGCATGATGCGGTATTTCTGAGAGGACTTGTCTATATCATGAATTCAGAAGATTTGGCTCAAGTCGGACTGACCAATCTCACCCTTCCATGCTCCTTGCTTGCTGTGCCAGGACCCTGGGTTCTTACACCAAAGCCAACCGACATCTCTTCGATGCGTACTGACTGCCCGGGCGCAGGTGATCTCCCTCCTGGATTGCTGCAGCCTGGCCTTAGCGAATGTTGCTCGCAAGAGTTGTTCGTTATCCATGTCTCTCTATACTCTATATATAACTGTACCCCACACGCAAATCTGTATATGTGCGTTGTAACGTTTGAATTCGTTCGTGGCCCCAGACAAAACTGTCGGGGCCTGTGCAAATTGAATGTCAGCATGTTCGGCATGTTTCGGCTGTTGTCATTGAAGATATACAAAGGTTTGTTGTCATGAAGATTGAACACTCTCGCTGTCTTTTCTGATGAACAGCTCTGAGAAGCTGGCGCTCGCTTTGTATTGTGCTGGGCGACATCAGTGCGTACAGTCTGCAGCAGCTTCGGAATCAGCCCAACGTACTGCCAAAAAGCACGTAGCGGGATTTGCTACGCAGGCTGGGACGGAAAGCTTCAACTTGGAAGTTGTGCTCCACGGACCACGGACGCTGGAACGTTCCTACCAGTAGCTGCCTAGCCTAGCAAGCTGTAGGCACTAGGCTAGGCCATGTATATAGATGATGACTCATATGTGCAAGACTCCCGAGCTCCCATGCCCTCTCTGTGTGAGAGAGCGTGTGTGTGTGTGTGTGCACAACGTCCTCGCGCACGAGTGCAGTCCGAGAGTATCTTGGTTCAAGCGGGTATGTATTCTGGACTGTGCTGCTGGTTGGGGATGTGACCCACATTAACCGCCATGGACGAAGCCTGGCACTCGGCAGTGGCTCGGCATGCTTTCATGGCAGAGTCTACCAGCGATCCGAGGATCCGGATTGGGAGATGATGGGCTTCTGTCCGCAGGGCAAGGTGCTGACCGTTGCCATCGTCGTTGTTGTTGTTGTTGGTGGTCGTCGTCGTCGTCTCGAGCAATTTGGAACGCCAGTTGCAAAAGTTAAAAGGGTAGCCCGCGCTGTCCTAGTAGTGGCAGGACCCTGGATTCGGGGAGTTCGTGGGGAAGGCCGGGTTCGGTGCAATGTTGTGACCGCCACTCACCTACTTTTGCTGGTGTTTCAGCACGGCAAGGTCAGCAAAGTGTTACCGGTTGGCTGTGCCTTCATCGAGTGCCAGGAGATCAAGGACCCGGCCCCCGGCCTCCTTCAAGGGCGTTTCGCAATTGAGATGGGCGCAGAAGATCTTCGACCCAGTTTCATGTACTGAAGGCAGCTGGTAATCTGCATGGCAGGATTTGTATGATCAAGATGCCTACGTGCACAGTTCGGCCAGCAGCCAAATCCTTGCGTGAAGCTAGACTAGCGAAAGCAGAGTGACACGAAATAGGCTTTGAGAATACGGGGTCGGAGATGAGAGCGTCAAGTTGGACCCATGGGTATTCATCACCCAGGTCATGCAACAATGTGGTCTACAGTTGGGCGATGAGCCCGGAGCTCAGCATGGCGCCGCCTCCCAGTAACAGCGGTCGTGTCACCACTGCTTTGTGACCGAGGATTTGCTTCAACGTCCACGTGAATGCAACTGGACGGCCGCAGGCTAGCTCACACATTGCAAGTGCCACGAGCCTGCACCACGGGCATCACGTTATCAGCTGCAGACTCTTCGCAGGTGTCGGCCCCATGTCATGGCCTCATCTTCCGCGACTGTTTGCCTTTCTCTGACGTGTGTTTTTGTGGCAGAGGCTGGAAGCGAAAACGTGGCTGGAAGCGGCCATGGACGGAGATGCAAGCAGAGGCCCAGGCCGGCCGCCACACGTGCGCGCTGGAATGCCCGGAGCTACGAAGCGAGGACGTCTCTGCAGTCTCCGCTCCAGCTCAAGGCTCAACCGCTTCAGAGCAGGCCTCCTCCTTGACGCCTTCACTGACTCGCAGGCAAGTTCGGAGGAAAAAGCGTTGCCAAAGGAAGCAACGGTTTGAGGCCCAGCTTACAGCCAGAGGCACATCCTTTTGCAAAGCCATGTTCAATTTAGCGTAGGCCTCTTTGCCATTTAGCAGTGCGTAGCCTTTCTATCGTTGCTTTCAGCTGCTGCAAAGGCTCTTGGAAACCACCTGCAGAGGAGGTACCGAAGGTGCCTCTTTCGGGTTCACGAGCATGCGCATGCTTGCGAAGATGTTCGCCAAGCGTTGGATATATGACCGTTGCTCATCGGCGCACACGAATGCTTGTTCCTGAGCTTTCGAACTTGGAAGTCCTCACAGTTCCCCGACGTAATTAGAGCTCGTCGAAGTAACGAATAAGAGAGAGTGAGTCGAAGTTGATGCGCAAGCCATGAATGCCATCCACGGAGATGGGCCAAGCCCATGAGCGTCTATGGAGGCATCCAGATCCCCAAGTGTGGCGGATGCTGAGGAGCCTGAGCCGGCCGGAGCCGAGGAGGTTCTAGCCACTGCGGGCCTGAGCGCTTCGGAGATATCGGAGTGCGTTCGCGTGCTCTGGCAGATCCAGCAGGCTCAGGAGCTGGGAAGGCTGGATCCGAATGCCAGCTGCCTAAGGTCTCTGCGAAAAGTCCTGTCGCAGCTTTCCAAGCAGACCTTCGCGCATCTCCCGCAGAAGAGTCAACTCGATGAGAATGAGCGGAAGCGGGCTGAGAAAGACCGCAAAAGGGAGCGTCGACAGAGGCAACTGGAGGCAGGAGCATTGAATACTCACAGCCGGGGTCGGGAGACAGATCAAAAAACAATACGCAGCACATCAACAAGCCCAAGTCCAGTAATGAAAAAGCAAAGCAGAAGACAGTGACTCATCCACAAGCAGAAAGAACGAAACAAAGAAAGAGCGAAACAGACACATCAAGAAGGGACGGCAGAACGCCAGAAAGAAGGAACTAAGCCAAACGAGACATGAAGACGCTAAGACTAAGACGCAGGCAGCCAACCCAAACAAAAGAATGGAGAAATAGAGAAGAACGGAAAACCATCAGTCAGAGCGTTTGAACAAAGACAGCCACAGAGAGCGAACTCTAGACCGACATACATCAGGAAGAAAGCAGGGAAGCAAGATGCGACAGGAAGAAGTCTAGTACATCTTGTGGCATACGACAGCAAGCAAAATGGAAGTGCGTTTGCTGTTAAGGTTATTTGAGGGTGAGAGGCCTGAAAGACGCGCCCTCCCAGGGGTGACTGGGACGGCTAAACGGACAACGTCAAGTGGATGTAATTTGAGGAGCTCCTGCCATGGGCCGAGGAGAAGGGCAGGCTGTCTTTCAAAACACCTGAAACTTCCCTTGGCTGCGGCCGACATAGTCATCCCCGACTGCGATAGGTTACTCGGACTACCTAGCGAGGGCGAAACATCTGAAGACGATGCACCTTGAACGAGCATGTCGTTTTAGGCATCAGCTAACAAGCGCGCACCATTATGCATACGATTAGTCGTCATACTAAGATTGCTGCTGCTGCTGCTGCTGCTGCTGCTGCTACTTCCCTTGCCATTTTGCATGGCAAAACGGTGAGAATAAGACTGAAGAGCCGCAATGTAGTTTCAGCCGTTTTAGCATAGTGGTTTTTGCAGGGCTACCACACAACCCCAGCAGTAAGTCATGGGTCAGGCAGACAAGCGCTTCCAAGAAAACACCCAGCTGCGAGCCTCGCGGTTGGCAAAGCTTCAGGCCCTGGAGGAATCGGCGGACACCGAGAAGCTGCAAAGTTCGTGTCGTGGTTCACATGAACCACTTCGCATCCCTGATGGCCCGGCCAGTACGGAGGCTGAAGACTGCACGACATCGCCGGCGGACGACGGAGAGCAAGAGTACTGTCGGCAGCAAGCTTGCTACATTTGCAAGGTTCGCTTCTCCGAGAGACATCATTTCTATTCCCATTTGTGTCAAGTGTGCGCTGCCCTTAATTTTGAGAAACGACACCAATCCCGGGACCTCTTCGGTCGCACTTGCCTGGTCACTGGTGCACGCGTGAAGATCGGCTTCCAGGTCTCTACGAAGCTGCTGCGCATGGGCGCTCGGGTGCTTGCCACCAGCCGCTTCCCACAGGACGAGGGTTGAAACAGTCTCTACAATCAGACATCCCTTGGTTTCCTTCGGCAAACTAGACGGTAGGTGTGACGCTTCGAGATGGGCTGCTGAGTTCGAGGGTTCACGGTTTCGGAACGTGCAGGATGCACGGAAGCGTTACATGGCCGAGCCTGATGCCGAGCAGTGGCTCGATCGTTTAGAGATCATCGGAGCCGACTTCCGATTTCTCGGAGGGGTGGAGGCGATGTGTGCCCAACTCAAGAGAAGAGAGCCCTTCTTGGACATCATTGTCAACAATGCCTGCCAGACTGTACGTCGGCCTGCGGCATACTATGCCCATCTCCTGCGTGATGAAGCACATCCATCGCATCCCTACCCTTCTCTCGCCAAAGGGCCACAGTTTGAACTGGAGCCGCAAGGGTCGGGCCAGGAGCAGGCGGAGCTGACAACTTCCTGTGGCTTTGGTCACATGGGCGGCAGTGCCGCACTGTCGCAACTTCTCGTTCTGGAGGAGGACCAGAAGGAAGATGCCCTAGCTCTGCCTTCTGGTATGCGAGATGTTCACGGGCAGCAGCTGGATCTTCGAAGCACGAACAGTTGGTTGCTCAAATTGGGCGAAGTCGAAACCCCGGAAGCTGTCGAAGTCTTTTGCATCAATGCCATGGCGCCGTTCATCATCAACAGCCGACTGCGGGGCTTGCTGGAAAGATCTCCGCACCCGGACAGATACATCATCAATGTGTCCGCAATGGAGGGCAAGTTCTACAGGTACAAGCAGCCAACCCATCCACACACTAACATGGCCAAGGCAGCACTCAATATGTGCCTCGAGACTTCCAAATCAAAGCCTTCAGGTTGAGGATTCATAAATAATACAGGTTTCCGTGCCAACTTGACCTTCTGGTCCTGTTTAACTGTCTACCCTATACGAAGGATGACTCGGACTAGCGCCGAAGATCTGGCCTCTAACAGCGGGATCTTCATGAACAGCGTGGACACCGGATGGATCAACGATGAAAATCCACTGCCGACGGCACAGCGCATTGCTGAAAATCACCAGTTTCAGACACCCATAGACGAAGTCGATGCAGCAGCGCGGATTCTCGACCCGGTGCTGATGGGTCTGGACGCGGTGAAGTCTGGGCATGCACCCTGCCGGCGGGCCAGAAAGGGAGGTGCCGAAGAGCTTGGCGACGGTCCAGTCTGGGGCTGCTTCCTCAAAGACTACAAGCTGTCAGACCCGCACTCAGCCATGGATTCTCGTGCCCTAAACTCGCCCCCAATTCTAGCCTGAGGATTCAAGGTTTGGGACAGGGCTGGGTCCAAAGCCATCCCAGCCGAGGAGTGGTGATGCCAGTGCCAAAGCTCAGCCAAAAGAAGTGTGCCGCATCGAGACTTGGTGTCTGAGCCACTTCTTTGACGCTGCCACGTAGAAGCTGAATCCGCTTTGTGCAGAGAATCTTCTGCTTGCAGACTGCAAACTTCCTAGACCCAGTCTAAGACCCATCCGGATTTGCTTCACAGCGCTCCGAGAAGTTGTATCAGGTCAGTCGTGTCCAAATCCCCTGGGGCAGCTGCTTGGATATGATACTACAAGATACGACCATGGATGCTCATTTTTCCCACTGTGCTTGTTGTGAGATGCCGGAGCTGTGGACCCAAAAGCGTCTCCACCTGAATACAGCTGAGGTTCTAGAGCTGAACCTGGCAAAGGAAAGGGACTTGGCTCCTCGGTCAACTGCGTATGTGGGGTTGAGATTGAATGCCAGCGACTGCAAGGACTTGACAAAGCCGACATGGTGCGGGCAAAAACACGCGGGTTTTTGTAGGGGTAGGAAGCAAGGAGAGAGAAACCGGAAGCTTTTCAAATCGGGCTTAGGTACTTAGGAGGCATCAGAGACCAAGATGAGCAGCAACCGATTATGTTCATGCTGCATTGCCAGCTTGCTCGCCCAGGCAAGAGCCCTGGCAGCACCGTCGACAGCGGTGCGGACGCAGGCTCTCGATCTGTAGTAGTTTAATCAAAACAGTTGCAGATTCATCAACTAGAGACTAGAGTGGTTTAAGAAGTTAGTGCTGCCGTGAGAGCTCTTGGCATAGTGGCGAAGCCTACTCCATGTGTGCAGGTGAGTTCCTGATTGGAACGATCAAGATCGCAGATCCTGTCCCCGGCCAAGGGGGGGGGGGACAAAGAATGACAAACTGCGGGCACATCGAAGTTCGATCCTTTTGTATCGCGAGCTCGCGAAGCAACGGCCGAACAGAGTTGCTACTGAAGCTGTGTCGACTCATCTTGAGGATCGCAAGCAGGAAAATCATTCTTGCGAAATCCCAGGCGCGTGGATTTAGCATGATCTCCTGCCCAGACTCCGGGTGGCTGCCTCAGCCGTTGTCTAGCTGTCCCTGAGAGAATGCTTGAGGAAGTGCTCGCCTGCCTGTTTCATGGAGGTTTGAAGCAGACGTCTACATCCACCGTACCATTGCAAGCCCAGAGGCAGATCAGTCAGGTTGTATGCCCAATGTGTAGATGCCCTGCACATGAAGAGATCGCCTTTGCAGAACTTTGCCGTCCGTGATGTGGTTGCCTTCACCTTTCACATGAGTGAAAAGGGACAGCCTCAAGCGCCTTCTACAGCAAAAGCGCGTTGCGGTGTTGCTTGCTAACGATGCTAACGTGCTGCTGGCAGAGCCTCACTCTTTGTTTACTGACTATAGTAACCAAGGCAGATGTGGTTTTCCGACTGTCTGGCTGGAGCCTAAACTTCATGAAAGAGAGCCCTCAAGTCATTCGGGGAAGCTGCTGCCTCAGGTTTCGTGCCTGCCGGAAAGACCGCGAGCTTCCCACCGAACATGGGCGCGGGCCTTATTAGCACGGCCCGAATGTTCCGACCTGGACACTTCCGTGATCGTGAGGTACTGTAACAAGAGTGCTCCCCAATGGCAGCGGCTTTATCGATTGCTGGCTGCCGAGCACGTCGTGCCTCGATGTCGTGCCACACCTTTCCTGGTAAGGCCCTGAAGTCAGCGGCGTCTATGGTGCGACCCCAACTCATCAAGTAAAGAGATTCCGACGCGCTACAAAGTACCTGGGTGCCGTTTCTGTTGCTTAGCCTTCCTGCGTTTTCTGGAGGCAAAGATGCCTCAGCCTCAACTCCGCCTGTCAAGCAACGATGCCCTGCGCGCTGACTATGGGTTCTCTTGTTTGCACTGGTCATTGAGGTCTTCGTGCACGGCAGTGTGGTGGAGCAGTGCGGCCTCCAAACTGGGGAGACTCCAGTTTGTTGCTGACATGCAGTTCGTTGTTGATGGCAGCGACAGGACATAAATCAACGCCCATGTGTCTGATGTGCAGGATGTACTCGCCTTTGACGTTCATGTCAGCAAAGATGGCAATCCTCAGGCTACCGTGCCAGCGGCTTCCTACAGACTGAGTGGGGCAAACGTTCCGTGGCTTGCAGGTGTCTGCACCTTGTCTGGTACCAAGCGCTCTTTCGCAACATGGTTTGGTGGGAAAGAGTCGCCTGTGCACCGGCCTCCGCGGAGGCTGGGTCCAAGCCGCTGCCGGCAACACGCAGGACTTCCTTCGCACAAATTTCTGCTGCATGCCAATGCGCTACTGCACCCAGTCGAGCCGATAGTCGAGGCACGGGAGGGCGGAGTCGGGAAACGCCTGAAATCAGGAGGAGGGACTTCCGGAAAATGCACACAGCAGAACGGCAGGATGGCTTCATATCAGCATCCAGCAGACCAGCGGAAGAAATAGGAACGCCGACATAGCGGACCTAGCAGCGCAAGTCAAAGCAGCTAGTGAGGTGCATCGATATAATGTCATGGGACTGAGTCAAGCGATGCGGGAGGCAAGTAAAAGTATCATCATAGGCACCAGGCCAGCTGCTGAGCCAGCTGTTGCCGGGCGCAGCAGAGCCCTGTGAAAAGCCGCAGCCGTGCTAAGATCGAAACCATTTCGCTGCTTCGAACATGCTCTGTCCTAGGAGCGACGGCAGTCACCTCCAGTTGTTCAGCTGCCGGCAAAGGGGTCGTGGCCACAGTCAGTGGCTCCATGTCGGCCTTCTGGAACACTGAAACCGGGCAGGTCTTACTTCTCCCCCTCCGGCAAAGGTCAACAACCGCTCAGTAAGGGGAAAGGCCTCCGAGCCGGAAAGCGCGGCCGTCCTCCGAACTCTAATGCCCAGCCTTTTCGAGGCTTCGGCATGGGCGCAGCGACTGGCCCCAAAGTGACCTTGTCCAAGGGAGGAACCATGCCAGGAGCCTGAGTGCCTTCAGGAGCGGCAGGTCAGTTTCCTGCGTTCTTTGAGGCGGGTGGAAGCACCGACCCCCGGGCCGCCGAAAGGCGAGAGTCTCAGCGCTCCGACTCCAGCGGCTGCCTTTCAGCAGCCGCTTTAGCGCGCTGGTTTTTAAGGCGCCACCAGCCCCGTCCCATTCCATCCCAGCGGCTCCTTGACTTCCTTAGCCGTGCTCGAGTCTTTTTTCTTGCCCATGGGGCGCCTTATAATCCAAGGCGCTGGGTGCAAGGGCAAGCCTGGCAAGCAAGCTGGCAAGCCCGCACCTAGTCCGCCTGGCAAAGGCATGAAGGGCAAGATTCAGTTGCCCCAAGCTTGGCCGTGCCCTCAGATGTGTAGCTTCGCAGCGCGCCACCAACTCCCAAAACACCGAACAGTTGTTCTGGAAATTGTATGATGTGCGGCATTTGGGTGCTTGTGCTGGAATGCATCAGATCGAAGATCGTGGAGATTCGATCCCATGTTGCCTAAGGTCCTGTATGTCATGTTTGTGTATGTCTCTGTGTCTGTGGTGTAAGCTGTAAGCTGCAAGGAAGGCACAGCAGGCCCTCGGGGGCGCTCCGAGACCAGGCCCAGGTAGCCTGGGCCTCGGCGCGAAAGGCGTTGCCCCCTGGGCACATCACTCTTCTCCATCAAAAATTCTCGCATCGCACGGAGGAGATACATGGAGTATGAAGGCCTGATGACAGCTTGAAAGTTCGCAGGTGGCTTGCTGTACATGGCCAGGCTTCTGCCAATCATATAGATAGCCTTGACATAGACTGGATGCCAGCAACTCAGCATCGTGTGTTGCTCAGATGAATGAGACAGATCGAGATGTTGACAACGTCAGGGCCCCCGACTTCCACGCTGGACGAGTTTCGCTGATAGACTTAGAGAAATTCGCCACCATCTTGGGTGTCCTGCTACAGTTACCTTCAAGTGTGCGGGGTTTTACGCGTATCTGGGTGGTTGGAAACCGTGTGCTGAGGTCAGCTTGGTAAGATGTCCAGCATCAGGCTTTTCACGAGATGCCCGGACCTCAGATGGTGGTACGTGGGCCGAGCTGCATGAAAGAACTGGCGGCTTCCAAAAATTTCATATCTTCGCTGTCATTGAGGTCTACGTGCATCAGTCGGTTGCAGACCCAAGTCCTTGCCTTGGCAACCTTCATTCCTCCGTCGGAAGTGGCACAAGGAGTGGCGTAGCTTTGCCACACGAAGCATAGCGCGGCACAGCGCGGAGAGGAAGAGCTTGCTTAGGCGCGCTGAGCCTGAATGACGTGGTCTGCTTCAAGGTTCACATGAACAGCAAGGGCTTGCAGGGAGCCAAGTTGTGGAGACAATTTCAGTTGCGGGCAGACTGCTCCTTTGAAGGCCTCAGGCATCGGCCCCCTTCTGGAAGCGAGTCGGCAGACTCCTGAGCATGCGGGGCCCATGTGAAGCGACCAAGCGACCAAGTTACCCAAGTTGGCCAACTGAGCATGCGAGGCATTGAAAGTAGTGAGAGCTTCACTCGCTTCGGTGAGTTCCAGGGCCTCGTCGTGAGGCGAACATGCTGTTAGCAGCTTGTAGGGGTCTTTACTTTGCTTGCCTTGGTTGCTTGGCAAAAGGATGCTTGCCGCCACAGGTCCGAGGACGGGCCCATATCCATAGACTGCCCTGATGTGACCCAGCTGCATGGACGAGATGCAGTGATGCAAGAGGCACGGCAACCCCTGCTGCAAGCTTTCCAGTTGATGACCCTTTGTCCGCCCTTGGTGGAAGGAATCTGCCGAGCTGTGCCAGCTGGTTGAAGGAAACTTGATATGCTTCGATGTGCGGGCACCTCAGCAGTCGGCCCACCTTGTCGGAGATCTGGAGTGCGAGAAACGTCGGAACCATGGACAGCCCATCATGATGTGCTGTCTCCATGTGTCTCTCCGCCTGGCTGGCTAGCTAGCTGTGTGTCTTTGGAGTCTCCAGTCCTTTCACAGTTCAGTTCAGAGTTACTCGTCCGGACATCAGACGAACTCTTCTCGGGCTTCAAGCCTTATGAAGCAAGTGCCTCGACGTCGAGGCCAACTGCAGAATAAGTCCGAAAGACGCAGGATGCGACAAGAGAGCTAGAGCACAAGACAGGGCATGTCGTGCCCGAGCTGAGAGCAGTGGAGAAATCTCTGAGGTCAGTGAACGAGGGTGGCGACCCCGAGGCCAACTGCCAGGCACGCGCACACGCGCAGTATGCCTGCAAAAGCCAAGACAGGTCATCCCACCTTGTTGGATCTGCTGCTCATCAGAGAAGTGGGTCTCAGCCCGTGCTGGAAGCACATGACACATGTTCAAAGTGCAGAGACGCCAGTGAGAAATGCGAGACACGAGTTGACGCAAGAACTTGGTGAGTACACGGCCAGACTCGCCGACTGGGCCAACTGACCGACTGCTCGTACTGGCTTAGGGGCGCTTCTGATGTTTTCGTCTTTGAGATTATGCGTCGTGGTCTGTATGTCTCGAAGGTCAAGGACATCGTCGGCAAAGGCGAAGAGGCCCCGGTAGTGAAGGAAGTGAGGGTGTTTGCATCGTGCCGCTGTTGCTAAGGGCTAGGCGCCAGCAGGGCGCTCAAGCAGGCTGTTTCGCTCAGCGGAGTCACTTCTTCTTGCTGTCAGACGTGTCTGCCCGGAATGAGCCGTTGGGCACAGAGAATTCGACTTGTTTTCCCATTTGCGGCGCCGGAAGCTTGCCGACACGATGCTCGGATTCATCTTGCAGCTTGGCTTGGATGGACGTTCCTGCGTGCATGTGTGCAGGAGTCGGCAGCAGCCCATAAAATGCAAGAAGGTACAATAGCCTAAGGCACGCTTCAAGTGATTGCGCAGAGGACGTGTTGCCAAGAAAGTGTTCCACGAAAATTTCCGAGGTCGCCCATCGAGTTCATTCTGATGACAGTCTATGCGCCGCTACTCAGCCTCAAGGCGCTGGAGTCGAAGACCCTCAATGACGACACCAACCTGCCGCTTGGATAGAAATCGCTGCTGTCTTGTCATGCTCAGGTCGCACTAGTAGTGAGCTACTAGCAGCAGTATGCAGCACCTCGTGGTCCTCGTTGTGGCTGTGACTGTGGTCTGAGGTTGTGGTTAGGGTGGTTGCTGGTGCTGTTGCTGTTGTTGTTGTCGTTGTTGTTGTTGGTGGTGGTGGTGGTAGTGGTGATGTTGATGTTGGTGTTGGTGTTGGTGTTGGTGCTGGTGTTGTTGTTGGTGTTGGTGGTGTTGGTGTCTTGTCGTTGGTGTCGTTGGTGTTGCTGGTGTTGTTGTTGTTGTTGCTGGTGTTGGTGTTGGTGTTGGTGTTGGTGTTGGTGTTGGTGTTGGTTTTGGTGTTGGTGTTGTTGTTGTTGTTGTCGTTGTCGTTGTTGTTGTTGTTGTTGGCCCCGACGCCCTGTAAACGCGCAAAACCGACATGCCGATTCCATCGGTGTTTACAGTGTTTTCGTCACTTCAGGTGCCGAATATAGCGGTTGCGTCGGCGTTCCCGGCGTCTGCAAATTCACGATTTCTGCAAGTGCCGAAACCCTCGGTATTTACGGTGTTTCCTTT